CTTTGGTCAACTTTGGTTGTTTTAAAGTGCTTAACAAATAAAGTTGGATTGGATTGGATACTGTAAAGCAGCAACACATTGACATGCTGTTACTGACTTACTCTTCTCCTCTGCTCATCCTAACTCACTGCGCCTCTGCAGAGAACATGAGGCCAGTTGTGACTACAGGCCGGTCCGCTGCCCCAACAACCCCTCCTGCCCCCCGCTGCTCACCATGAACCTGGAGGCTCACCTCAAAGAATGTGAGCACATCAAATGTCCACACTCCAAATATGGGTGAGTCCTAAAACCGCACATACATACAGTTTCCTATACCGTGCAAGTGTGTGGTGATATGTTGGAATGAAGTTGGCTAAAAATACGTAATATGGCATAAAAACACAATCATTATTTATTTGTTTATCTTTCATCTACTGTGTCTCACCTTGTGTTAAAATACAACACACTCCTCTACCTTCCACTAATCTGCCTCTCTTCTCCTCCCTGACAGCTGTACGTTCATTGGTAACCAGGACACATATGAAACACACCTGGAAGTGTGTAAATTTGAGGGTTTGAAGGAGTTTCTGCAGCAGACTGATGACAGGTAAGCCGACATACTCAAACTACGTGGAGGAACAAAAATTCCAGACTTTTCCAGAGCTGAAACATTCAAATATGCAAATATTTGTTACATTGATTGATTTCTGTCTTTTAATAAACTCCTCAACATAAATAAAACTCTTCTTAAATATGGTATCGATTGTCTCCATCTCTGGTCTATCTGTATGTAATCTCCTGTTTGACTATGTTTGACCCTGTTTAGGTTCCATGAGATGCAGCTGACTCTGGCCCAGAAGGACCAAGACATTGCTTTCCTGCGCTCCATGTTGGGCAAACTATCAGAAAAGTTAGATCAGCTCGAGAAGAACCTGGAGCTCAAATTTGGTAAGATATAGGAGAGAAAGAAATTCTGCAGTTTTACCTGCTTATTTGGACAAAGCAGTACATTCTTATTTGTAACATTTAGGGGAGTTATTTGTTTACACACTCAGATAAGGAAGTTCTTCAGCTCCAACAAACAAGCTGCTGGAAAAGTCACATGGACTCCCGTAGCTCATTTCTGCCGAAGTTGAATGACCTGTCTGTGCACTTCATACCAGCATGATACGTGTCCTTGTCCTTAAGAGGTTGATGCATTGTGATGTTGCAATTCCATAAACCTTAAATATAATTTTAACATTTTTACAAGCCTAAGTGTATGAATGTCTCCACTACAGCCTTATGTTAACTTACACATATCTTAATCAGTTCAACACAGAGAGAATAATAGAAAAAAAACAGCTCAGTACCCGGGATCTGATTACTCTGTACCTGAGTTTGAGTATGGGAATCATTATCGTGGGAGAAAAAGCTGAAAAAGCAGATCACGTCTCACCCCTGCACTGCACCACATTTAAAACACGATTTTTAAGACCGCATGGCTGCTGATAGATAAATATTAACAGGAAATATTGACTGGAGGAAGTTTTATGACCCTAATGAGCCATCCTCCTTGAGCACACTGCCCTGACTGTTATTCCTTTTTCTTAAAGTTATCATGCCTGTGTGTGCATTTCAGATGTGTTGGATGAGAACCAGAGTAAGCTGAGTGAGGACCTGATGGAATTTCGCAGAGACGCCTCCATGCTTAATGTAAGTGTGTACCTGCAAAGAGCGTATGAGTTCATCTGTGTCTGAGAGTAAAAGTTTGAATCAGGTAGCCACAGTAAGTGTGTTAGTGTAGAACAAATCCTCCAATCTATTGTCTGGGTATCTGCAGGATGAGTTGTCCCACATCAACGCCAGGCTCAACATGGGGATCCTGGGCTGTAAGTATCTGTCATTCCTCCTTTTTAAAATCCTTTTTCTCTTCATCTCAGTGCAGGAAAAAAATAATAAACCCTCGCTGAGACCTGGAACATGTCAAGTTTTGAAAGATTTAATCATGAAAGCTCTATTGATTTGAAATGCAAAATCCAGCTCTGCCTGCCTTCTCTGGCCGTTCCTTCCTCCTCTCCCTCACTCCCACCCACCTTCTTTTACCAAACTGATTTCTTTCTTCCTCCTCTCCTCATCTACCACTCTGGCCCTTCTTAATCCATCCTTCAGTTAACTCCTCTCTTGTTTAGTTTCCAATAATAAGTACATACTTACCTGTTTCTGTGCCTGTGTGCAGCATACGACCCCCAGCAGATCTTCAAGTGCAAGGGGACATTTGTTGGCCACCAGGGTCCCGTTTGGTGTCTGTGCGTCTACTCCACTGGAGACCTGCTCTTTTCTGGCTCTTCAGATAAGACCATCAAGGTAACATAAACACACACGCAAAACAAATTCAATACATTAGCACTGTGTAAAAAAACCCACCCAATGTTGAAGCAGCAGAGGGCCTTCAGAGTAATGAATGTATTACTCAAACTGGACTTTCTGGACATTAGCACCAACGTCACCCCTTAAGGTCCTTTTTAATTTATTTAATTTTTTATGATGTAGTTTTATATTTGCCCTGAAAATGGCCTTCGCCCACCTACTGCCTGAGAGATTCGGATAACTCCCCGCCCACAACCTTGTTTTCTATTGGAAATCTGGAATTATCATAGATCTATTTTAATGCTAATACATGTACTCAAGTGTTAAAAGTCCCCTTTAGAAGACATAACCTGAAAAAGAAAATACAGTTTGAGGCCTAAAGATGCTCGCCTTTTAGCACTATGTTAATCCATCTCTTGTCTTCCCTTCAGGTATGGGACACCTGCACAACCTACAAGTGTCAGAAAACCCTAGAGGGTCATGATGGCATTGTACTGGCACTGTGTATCCAGGGGTAATAAAATGCACACATGCACATAAATAAACAACACACACTGTGATCATAGGATGGATGACAACTTGGGACTGACCAGAACTTCCTTGACTCTGTGATATCTTTTTGTCTCCATAGAAACAAGCTATACAGTGGCTCTGCAGACTGCACCATCATCGTGAGTAACATTCTACTCCCTGCTTCCTCTTGTAAACCAGCACAGTTTGAATTGTTAGCATATGCTTTAGAGGTTGTGTTATTTTTTTCCTGTTGTGTCTTGCCGCTGTGCGTTTTGTGTAGGTGTGGGACATCCAGACCCTGCAGAAAGTCAATACTATCCGTGCCCATGACAACCCTGTATGCACACTGGTCTCCTCCCACAACATGTTGTTCAGCGGCTCCCTAAAGGCCATTAAGGTACGGCTGTGTACATCAAGTATCATCACGTGTACGTGTTGTTTCATCCTTTCTCCACAGACATCAGTTTATTTTCCACTTAAATCAAGTCAAAGTTTATAAAAAGTGCCTCAACACACTTTACAGCAATGAAAACAACAGAAGATAGATAGATCATTAAAAGAGACTCAATAAAAACAAATAAGTATTGATAAAACATTGAAAGCAATGGCATGGAAACCAACATGGTGTTTTTTTCATGAATCCTTGGTACTGATGAGTAACCTGAGGCAGAAGAACACAGGATAAGATCTGAGATGTATCAAGGTGCTAATAACCCTTGTAGTGCTTTATATGTCAGGATGAGTTCTTTAAATCAGCTCTAGTGTGTAAGAGATTCATGCATGGATCAAAATCCCACTATCAGAGAAATGGACAGATTCTGGCTTTATTACTCAGAAGATATCTTGACACTAGACTTAATATAGAATCTCAAGCGAGGAGTCCGAAATCAAACCAAGACAATTACTGTTAACTGCGCTGAGAAATGACACAATCGTCAAGATCCAGACAAGACATAAATGTATGTGTTTATCTGGTCTAACAATCGTCTAATGGAAACTGATTCATTTGTGTAAATGCACTGCATAACAATGTAAATGAAACCTGTATAGAAGGCTTGAGTGTATCCAAAATATTAGTTATGGCTAGCTGATTGGCTATAACTTTTTTAAGTAGTAATGATGTGTGGAAGGTTAGAGATTGGTCTCTAATTGCTGAAGATATTAGATTTGATTCCTTTAGAAGTGCTTTAATAATTGCTGCTGCTTGGCCCGACTTCACTGCTGAAATCTGCAATAAAGAAGAGTGTAAAATGTGTCTCAGTGGGGAGAGAAGCAAAGGCAGACTAACGAGTGGTGGCTGTAGCCTTGTCTTTGTTACCATGGCTACAAGTGAGCGAGTGAAAGAAGGGAAAGGATGATTGTGTGTGTGTGTGTGTGTGTGTGTGATGTCATTCCTCTTACACAGGGACTTTCCTTTCTTGCCCAACTGAACTCTGCCTCCTCCTCCCGTCACCCAGCTTCTCCTTATTTCAGCTCAATGACATCATGTACTTTACTGTTTTCCCCACATTGTATTTGCCCACAGCTTGGCTCAATGTAGTGTGTGTGTGTTTCTGTGTGTGTCTGTCTGTGCATGTGTGTGTGTTTCTGTGTGTGTGTGTCTGTGTGTCTCTGTCTGTGTGTGTGTGTGTGTGTGTTTCTGTGTGTCTGTGTGTGAGTGTGAGTGTTTATCTGTTTTATATCTGTTTTATTCTCTTGTTTAGTTTGAAGTCAGTAAAGTGTTTTTTCCCCTAGTTCAGTTTTTATTAACTCTGTGTGTGTGTGTGTGTGTGTGTGTAGGTGTGGGACATCGTTGGTACGGAGCTAAAGCTGAAGAAGGAGCTGACCGGTCTGAATCACTGGGTTAGAGCACTGGTGGCCTCCCAGAACCACCTTTATAGTGGCTCCTATCAGACCATCAAGGTAGGTGCAGATGTGGGGAGATATTGGTAGTATACTTACTCACACATCTATTTCATTTTGATTTTGTTTTGATTGTCCAGTCATGGCTTAGCGACCATAACTAGGCACATCAGGTCTGTCAAACTTTGGATTTCAGCTGTGTGCATGGGGTTGTAGTAATAGAGATAACTGCATATCTAAAGAGTTTGTTTTTCAAACCTTTAACAAGAAAAAAGTGTAATGAATGGACTCATCTGTGTTTTTCTTTGCTAGGTAAACTTCAATCCACTCACAGTATATATAATGGACAAAGCTTCCAGCTCTGTGACTTGAAGCTGATGTGAAGTGTCTATAAACCTGCATTCTATGTAATGGCCAGCAGGGGCAGCTCCATTGGCTGCAATAACATGTATTTATTTCCATGGACTGTCTTATGTGAAGTATATATATACTTGCTAACAAACAAACTCTGTCCTCCTCTAGAGTGGCATTAAACCTACCAGTCTCTAGGGCTAATGGTAGTCCCTGAACACATCTGTTCAGGGACTACCATTAGCTTAGTTAGCTTTATTGTGTGATTTAGGTGAAACTGAGAATGTCCTCCATTTATGATGATTTCTATTGGCTGGATGATTAGGAAAACCCAAGGGAGCCTTTCTTGTAGTGATCTTTTTGTGCCAAGCTTGAGAGAGAAGCCTTTTTGCCTAAAGCTACATCTAGCTTTAGCTTTAGTCTTTTAGCACACTATCTTGTATGTAGCTATCAAGTGCATATTTAAGACACTTTTACTGTCTTCTCTTTTTCAAACAAGTGTGCTGTAAACATTCAAAAAGTCAGTTAGAGACAACACCTTCAGCCAGCTCTGAGTTTTAAGGTTGGATTTAGCTGATGAAATCTGCTAGTAACGGTTGTCATTTCACTGCGTTTGTCAGTGTCAGTGTTTAATTTGCCACCGCAGTCACTGTAAACTGTGTATGTGTCATGCTAAAATGGAAAGAGTGACAGACAATGAATCATTTTTACAAGACAAAATAACTGGCTGTAACGATGTTAGTTCTTCTACTCAGATGCAGTTAGTAAAGTTTTCGTTTTGTCGTGAGGTGCAACAGAAGGAAGATTGGAAAATGTTGTGTTTGGCAGGTACTACGGATTTATCTGCCAGTGACAGATTTGAGTGGGATTTGGACTGTGGATGTTGTTAATTTTGGAGTCGGAGCATTAAAATAAAAAAGCTGGAGGATGGAAGAAAAATGTTCATACCGCTCCCATGGTTATGTAAAGTTGCCCAAGTGACTTAAAATACAGCTCCACATGGTTTATGGGAATGATGAGCACACAGAAGACTTCTTTGACGTGTCCTCTTGGTTGAGAAATACATTTAAATACACTCCTTGCTGTGTGTGTGAGCATGTATTACTATGTAAAGCTAGGTCAAGGCCTTCATGTTGTTGTCATCAGCTAATTTGTGCATCAGCCTGACGGTGTTTTTGTCCCTCCTGAACACAAGCTGGGTGTTAATTAGTTAAGGGTTTAACCTTTTTTTTTTTACAAGGCAGGACATGTACTGTGCAGTGAAAGCTGTTTGGATATATTGTGGTCATCTTCATTCACTGTGTGTGTGTGTGTGTGTGTGTGTGTGTGTCGCTGTCGAGCTGGAGACTAATGAATTCCTCAGGGACGCTGTAGAGAGATGAAAAGAGAGAGACTGGTTTTGGGGACGAGGGACTTCTGGAAGAATGAAGAATAGGAAAAGAGAGATGAAAGTACAGATAAAGTAGACTGTGCTCCTCTTTATGGTGCTTGTAAGCAGAGCGGTTAGTCTCTAGCCAGTACTTAGCCACAGAAGTCGTTTAGAAATTGTTTTTGCTGCAGAAATTGCCATGACAAATGTTGCCAATATTCAGTAAAAAAACACCCCTTTAAACCTTTTGGCAAATAAAGAACTTAGAAAGAGAAACGACAAACTTCATAGAAGAGAGCTTAAACATAAAACTCCTTTTGATTTCTTTTAAAACATGAAATAAATAAACTTCTTTTAGTTTGTATTTCTAATGTTTGAAAAGTTGGTGTCATTAGCTGCTTGCTACCAGTTGCACTGTAGCACTGTAGGCACTATTTAATAGATGCCCTTGTATTTAATCAGACTGCCAAGGATTATCTGTTGGTATTTTAGCCTTTATTAGATAGTATAATAATGAGAGAGACAGGAAGGATGGAGCAGACAATGGAAGATGCTTTGTGACAAACTCACAGACTAGATATGAAACCAAGATGTTACTATTTTTGTGGTATGTAATGCCACGTTCACACCATTTTACTGCACCAAAAATTCATTCTCCTCATTTATTTCAATGATGCCAGTGGGATCCTGCTATAGAGACCAAAGTAAACAGGAAATGCAAAAGTTAATTCTGGTTCAATTAAAAAGAAAAGGAAAATAAATAAAATGTTTTACCTAAAGTGTATTATGCTTACAGGATTGTTTGTGTGCAGCAGTTGAATTGTTCATTGCGCTGTCCTTGGTGATTTATGGAGTTTCCAGATGGACTTGCTGCTAAAATAGGCGAACTGCCGCCACCAGTAATGTTAGATACAGTTAGCTAGGCTGGACTGCCAGGAGCCAAACCCAGCAAAAAAACAACTCTACCAAACTGTCCTCTGTCTGCAACAAATGCTATAATGCTAAAAAGCTGCTATAATCAATATTTTTATATTCACAAAGGATCAAATTAATATCCATTGTAGAACTTTCCAGCAGGTG